CCTAAAAGAATGCTCTCTCTCCCTCCCTCCCTCCCTTTCTCCCTCTCTCCTCTTTCTCTTTCCCTCCCACCTGCCCCTCTCCCTTCCCTTCTCTCCCCCACTCCCCCCTTTCCTCTTTTTCTGACTCGGCCGCACTAACTCCCCACCCCACCCCCAACAATATGAGGACTTATTACTGTATTCTTAATAATTATGGAAGCGTTGTTTGGAGTTTGGGACAGCCTGGGGATACCAAAGCTGGGGGGGGGGGGAGGGGGGGAAGAAAGTAGAAAAAAATCAAATTGATTGGAAAGTTTATTTTTTAAAATCAACTCTGGGATCCATCGGAACGGTTGAATTCTGATTGATTTTGTGGCAATAGCTGCAAATTCCACGAGTGTCCTGTCGAAATTAAACGTTTTAAAACCAAGTTATACTAAGGAGCCAAAAAAACAGGAGTCTCTATCTGCCTCGTTTCTTAAGAGGATATAAAATAAACGCAGTCCACACTTGGGTTATGCTTATATGTGAAAGAAGAAAACAATCTAAACCCAGTGTATTTCACGAGTCATTAAAATGGTGAGAGTTAAATTCCCATATAAAAAATTCCTAACATTTTCGATGACACTGTCTTCAAGCTCATGAAACCTAATCTTAAAAACTTTTCATAAGAAATCGACATTATTTCCTTCTAATTTGCACGTTGCAAGGCATTCTCCCCCTCGCCATCCCTTCCCCCCTCTGGCGTTCGCGTGTGTGTGTGTGTGTGTGTGTGTGTGTGTGACCATAGACGACCCATACTAATCAGGTCTCAGAGTAAATAGCAGAGCAGGGCGATCTCAATGTAAATTGCGCTTGTCAGAAGCACACCCCCTCCCTCACTTTCTCTCCTCCTCCCCTCACCATCCCCGTCAGTAGGTAGCGGGGGGGGGGGGGGGGAGCAAAAGAGGAGGGGGGACTCTCCAACCAATGGCGTGCAGGAGGCATGGCTAACCTTAGCCTCCCATTTTCTCCTCCCTCTCCCCCCTCCCATTCAGGGCTCTGACCAGTCAGTCTCCTTTGATTATCAGTTGCCAGCAGCCCTTCTCCTGGCTCCTTGACACGAGCTCCATATAAGGCAGCGATCTCCATAGAAACGTGTCAGTTTCAATAGTAGTGTCAAAGTTCACTATATACAGACATTCGCGCAGATCCCCCTTTCGGAAACATTGCTCTGCGAGTCCTCCCGATTAAACGCATTCAATTTTGGGATCTCTCTCTCTCTCTCTCTCTCTCTCTCTCCCTCTCTCTCTCTCTCGAGTCTCCTCCTCCTCCTTCTCCTCCTCTTCTGCCTCTCTCTTTCTCAGTCTCTCAATCTCTCTCTCTTCTTTCCCTCGCTCTCTTCTCTCCTTTTTCTCTTTTCTTACATATCCTCTTAGTTGTTTCCCCGTATTCTTTTTCTCTCTCTCCTTTTTCTCCCTCCTTCTTGTCTTTTTTACTCCATTCCTGCAGAAGAGAGAGGGCTAAACTTAAAAAAAAAAAAAGAGGAGGAGGAGGAGGAGACACCCCCTTCGTATTCTTCTTATCGTTATTTTATACATATATGATTTTTTTTGGAGGGAGGGTGTTGGTTCCCGGCTGAAGAGCACTTATTTAAAATACTAAAAAAAGAACATTTTTGGGCGATCTCCAGGGTTTTTTTAACTAGCTCTGTGTGTTATAGCAGAAGAAGCAGAAGAAGGAGCAAGAAAGAGGAAAAGAAGAGGATTATTTATTCGACCTACTTTGGATGTCTCTCTCGCTTTTTTTTTTTTTGCAATTCTTTTTCTTCTGAATTTTATTTTTCCTATTTCGCTGTGAACTCGTCGCCGGCGTGAATTATCTCCTATTTTTCTTCTTTTCCATCACCTCCCCAAAGAAGAAGGCAGTGAGAGCCCGGCGCCACCGGCACAACAAAAAGAGCAAAGTGTGCGATCCTCCTCGCCCGCCGCCTCTCGCTTTCCAGCTCTGCCTTCCTGAATGGCTGGCAGCGTCCGGCCCTGGACCTGGCCCCCCGACACCAGCGCGCCCTGATCTCCGCCTGCAGCCTTGCCCCGCGCCCCGCTCG